CACACACTCACATACACACACATATGCATTCCCTTGTCTATTGATGGGGAGCGCAACCTGCTGGAAACTAGGTCCAGCGTCCCATGAACATCGTGAATAAAGCACCAACTAGCACCCCACACTCACACACTCTTCGAGTTGTGTATAACGAACATGACAAAACATACATACGGCGTGGACGCAGGCCCTGTGGTGAGTTAGGGCGGGTTTTTAGGGGGGGCACCGACTGGAAGGCGCATGCGGGTCCAATCTTGCAATTTTCGAGCACCAACTTTGGCGATTTTTCGTACGCAGAATAATTGGAAAAAAAAACTGCAAATTTGATATCGGGTACGCCAAGTCGTGATCTTTCCAGGAAAAATATCAACAAAATAAAATAAAATCGTTTAGACCATGAAATAAATCCCGCGCCAATTCGTCACTTTTTCCATTTTTGACACACGATAACTTGTGGGCCAACGTGACAAGTACCCCTATTTCCAAGTTTTTTCACGCTCAGAAGAACTTGTAAACAAGTCTGAAAATCTGAGGGTCTGTAGATTTGGTCAATGATCTTTTCAATAAAAATGTTTAAAAAAATTAAAAAAATTGTCTCAACCGCGAAATAGCTTCTAGCGCAAATTCATCCCTTTTTCCATATTTACCACTTTGCCGGTTTTCCACTCTGTGGTACTGGTAGCCCTCATGAACCTGTGCTACCGGTCCCCCGAATTTCCAACGTCAGGTAAAGTAGTGGTTTGAATTCGAACCCTGTCGTGGGCGAAATCGAAACAGGCCAAAAGCAGCGGCGGCCGCTCCCGTTCCCTTTGCGTTCACAAAGTGATAGTCTCTCTGTGTGCGCAAGGAGCTCGGTGCCTTATCGATCGAGGCGTTTTGACAAAGTGGTGTCGCACCAGATCTCTCTCTCTCTCTCTCTCTCTCTCTCTCTCTCTCTCTCTCTCTCTCTCTCTTACACACACACACACACACACACACACACATACACACACACACACACACACACACACACAACAACATCAACAAACAAACCATGGGCTGCACACCCGTGCCCTCACGAAGCCCGTCAGGGATGCGCTTTCCTCCCCTGAGACATTCAACGTTCAACGTCAAATTTCAACGTGGTGGTCGTCGGGAGGGTGGTCATTTTTGGTTTTGGGGCCTTGCAAGGGCCAGGACCACGTAGGAC